TTGCCCGGCTCTCCTTCACCAATTCTGTTGACTATCACGCACTCTCGTTGCTGGCATCAAGGAGCAAAGAAAATCTATCTTGCGTGCAATTAAAAGCGGAAGTATAGCATTCTCCGAATATGCTAATGGTCAAAGCCCCGGAATGTCACTTGTTCTCCAAAAGCCATTCTCACGAGGATCAGTCCTAATCAGCTCGACAGATCCATTTGCCGACCCTGTCGTCGACTTTGGTGTATATACGAATCCGGTTGACGTCGAAATTGTCGTGGACATGTTCAAATCCTGGCGTAAACTTCTGACAATGCCATCCTGGGTGACATTAGGAGCAACAGAAACGTCCCCAGGCAATAATGTAACGACCAATGACGAAATACTCGCTTATATCAGGTCGACCACGCTTCCAACCATTGCACACGCTTGCGGTACTGCTGCTATGTTGCCAAGGCATCTCGGAGGGGTGGTAGATCCCGAGTTAAAGGTATACGGAGTGAATAATTTGCGCATCGTGGACGCCTCTATCATGCCTATCGTCCCTTCTTCGCCATTGACATCGACAGTATATGCTGTTTCGGAAAAGGTAATGTTCTTTGCACAAGGCATCAGATTATCTATACTAAACGTACGTTTTAGGTTGCAGATATCATCAAAGCACGTTATCGCATTTGAGGGGAGGGTAGAACAGAAGATGATCCAGGAATACCTACTGTGATTGACGCAATAAAGTAAATACCGACTATATCCAAGTCTTATAAGACCAAACAGCGTCTATATTCTCATGGAGAGTGTATAAGAGCCGAGAAGAGTGCGTGATAGTCAACAGAATTGGTGAAGGAGAGCCGGGCAACCTTGCGCCCGCCTATACGGTGGGCCATCGTGACCCCTTCTTATTCAGAGTAGAGATTAGTTCATCTATGGTAATGCCATTTCCCGTTGGCAATTTCGGAAATGTTCAAACTAGAGTGCGAAGGAGATGACCTTTGCGCCTCGACTGAGAAAGATGATAGCTGAGCCAAGAGATCTAGATAGACCAGACTGAGGCCTGGAATATGCTATCTTCTGGCAGGAATAGATGGAAAGCTCAACAGTTGCTGCCAAAATTGAGAAACTGCGGAGCAGCTTCACATTTATGGGATTGAAATGAATAGATATTATACCGAACGTATTTAAAATTGGTAGACAAGCGGAGCTTCGAATATATACAAACAGATTGCGCCTGGGGACGGTCGAAGAGTCCCAAAGCCAAGGGTCATTCAGGGTAGCTGAGGCATATACATCGTTATAGTGCAGTGAATCTACCAGAAGGTCGATGTGTAATACAATTTCCGCCGATTTCTGATTGAATTATTGCACGAGTCGAAGGGCTTGACAGAGAAGCACGGGCTAAGAATAGTGCCTTGGCGCGCCATCAATTCTAGAGAGAGGCCGGTGCACTCTCATACTGATTCAACGAAGAAGAAATTTACGCCTGGAGACTGAAGAGACGTTTAGACCTCACCCTCTTGGTGAGGAGGGTCGTCCCTTTATGAACAGTGTGGCTAAATATTCGTCCGCCTAACTTGGGTTAATGCCACCATGGGTCCCTCCCCGGAAAATTGACCTGTATTTTGGCCATACACAAATGTCATTCTTTCTATGTATCTTCGAGACGAGCGCGTGTAGCGAATGATTGGGCACAAGGGTCAAACCCAAATGTGAGCCAAAGAAGTTGTCGCCGACGGGTCGGCACAATAAGAATCTTATATAGGAGCGAAACTTGTACGGCATGTGATAAGTTAATTCATTGTTTTGCATATAAGCTCGACTTTCAGGCATCCATCAAGACACATAGCACGATGCAGCTTCGCGCACTCGCCATTCTTTTAGCAACTCTCATTACAGCTCCCGCATATGGGGCACATCTCGTAGGAAGAGATGTAGAATTACAGGAAAAGTATGACTTTGTAATTGTTGGAGGTGGTACTTCTGGCTTGGTCGTTGCGAACCGCTTGACCGAGGGGTCGAACAGTGAGTTTTGCTGGCTTTGCAATAAGCATTGTCACTAACTTGTGGCTAGAAACGGTTCTTATCATCGAAAGTGGAGAGCTCGACCAAGGAGAAGAATCCGTATACATTCCATTCTTAGCCTTTGGAGGCACGTTGCCCAAATTCCTTTTCAACCTTACCAGCACTCCTCAAACTCAGCTGAATAACCGCACGTTTGGATCTTATACTGCTCATGTCGTCGGAGGTGGATCTGCCATCAATGGAATGTTTTTTGATCGAGGATCGAAAGGCGACTATGATTTGTGGAAAGCTCTCGGTAATCCAGGTTGGGGATGGGACGACCTACTTCCCTACTTTAAGAAGGTGAGAAATGTTTATAGCCTCTAGATTAAAACTGAACTAGCAGTAGAGCGAGACCTTTCACCCTCCCGACCCAGCATTGGCAGACCAATTGCGTCTAACATATGATCCGAGCATTCATGGCACCTCAGGCCCCATCCACTCGAGCTACCCACCATTCCTTTATCCAGCTACGCGTATGTTCATCATTTTCGTGATGCTAAACCCTATTTACAATCATCATAGGTAATTTCCTTTCGGCAATCGAAGAATTTGGCTCTCATGTTCCACGGGACGGAACATCTGGAGACGCATTGGGAGCATTCTGGGTCCCGAATACTCTCGATCCATCATCCATGACCCGAAGCTTTGCACGCACAGGCTATTACAACCCTGCGTCTTCTCGTTCCAACCTGCACCTCTTGACGAGTACGACCGTCACCAAGATTCTAATCCAAAATAAAACGGCGGTAGGGGTCCAAGTGAGTCATTCATTATAAACGACGACCAAGATCTCACATGGTAGTCAGTTTGCTTCATCCAAAGATTCGCCACTTCAAACCGTCAAGGCGAGATGCGAAGTTATCCTTGCAGCTGGATCCCAACATACACCCCAGCTCTTGCTTCTTTCCGGGATTGGTGACAAAAAGTCCTTGAAGTCACTGAGCATTGATGTGGTCGCTGACCTACCTGGAGTTGGACAAAACTTCCAAGACCATACCGCCATCATCCCTGTTGCGACTTTCCTCAATGATTTGAACCCTAGTCCCAGCAACACGAGCAATGCTACTTGGGTGGCCGAGCAACGCATACTCTATGATACCGAGAAGAAAGGTACGAACATTTTCAACTCATGAATCGGCTCTGAGATATGTTTACTCAGGTGTTTGGACTACTGCTGCCTCCA